TATATTTAAAACAGACAGTGATGCAACACTTTGTTCCTGATTACGGAATCCTACCACTCAGAGGCTGTTTTTTTTAATGTTCTATAGAACACTTGCATTATGCCACGTTGTAAAAAATGTTATCTAAAAGCAGGTTGTTGTGAGTTGCCGTGGGGCGCTGTTAAAAAACCGAATCCCACTCCAGATTCCTGCTCCAACCACATAGGTCAACAGGTGGTCCTCTCTGTCATCTCTCAGTCTAACCAGGATTATTGTGATATTAAATGAGGTTAAGGATAGTAAAGGATTTTGCACATGGAAAAGTGTAATATAAAATTTGCAGCTCAGTGTTCTACCAGGGCTTGTGCTGTCCAAGTTATTTTAGAAACAGACCAAACTCTAAAACCACAGCTGTCATATCTTCTGCCATTTATGTGACATTCCTCATAAAGAAAGAGAAAGTAATCTGCTTCTGAAGAGTACTGTGCAACCAGACAGAGAGATCAAGGCCTGTAGTGCCTGGTTATCATGGTTTATATGTACCATATTCCAAAAATGAAGGGGAAATGTGTGTGCGTCCTATGGGGCGAATGCAGGCTTTCGCTGAAGCCTGGAGAGCGAGAGGGGTCGGTGCACACCGACCCCTCTCACTCTCCAGGCTTCAGGAGAGCTGCAGCACCAGCCCCACAAGATCGGGGGACAGCAGGGAGGCGGAACGCCGCCATCCCGCTGTCTCCCGATGTGGTTTGGAGGCTGACGGCGGGGAGACGCGTGCTTCTCCCCGCTGCCTGCCCCGCAAGCTCCGGGGACAGCTGGGAGGCGCAGCGCGTCTTCCCGCTGTCCCCGGACCTGGTCTGCAGGCGGGCGGCGGGGAGAAGAGCGCTTCTCCCCGCTGCCGGCCCCACCAGCGCCTGGGGGGGAAATAATTTCCCCCCCTTTATTTCCCCCCAAAAAACTTGGTGCGTCCTATGGGCCAGTGCGTCCTATGGGGCGAAAAATACGGTACATCATTTGAAATGGCAATATAAAAGGAAATCCCTAAAATCCCCTACCTGGATAAAATTTGAGTTCTCCATAGAAATTAGGAATTACAGAATTATTAGGCTTAACATCCCCAAGCTAGGTATAAACAACAACAAACTCTTCAGAGAGCACAATTTGGAGGCGGGGCTGATTAACACTAATACAAACAGCATAAAAGTTAGCAATAAGATACCCCTTAAAAATATTTACATCTTTCCCATAAGGCTTATGGGCGATCTACTTTTTCTGTATTAGTGAATGGAAGGAAGTGTGGTGAATAGCCATATTTTTCCGTGCATAAGATGCCCCCATGTATAAGATGCCCCCTATTTGGGGGGACTCCAAATTAAGAAAACACCCCTCAGCACCACCCATGCATAAGATGAGCCCCAATTTTAAACCTATTTTTTTGGTAAAAACACAACAACCCTAGTCTTATACACGGAAAAATACGGTAATTATACCAGATTAAGCATCACAAAATACAAATATGTTATCCTGCTGGTGGTGGAGTCATGAAGTCAGGATCTGGCTGAAATTGCTAAATTCTCTCAATGCTGTCAGATGCCCTGAAATATGAGATGCATCTTAAAGTAAGGGGTGTCACATATATGTTCTTTATGTTCATGCTTCATAGGACCCCAGCATATAAAGACACCACAGAATATAATGAAACTCCACAGCTTCATATTTCATATATCATATTTTGATATGATAATACAACATAACCTGCTGTATTTCTGTGCTGCAAATCCCCTATTCATTACTTGTTTATGGAACAGTTTAAAATAATAAATATTATGGGAATTTAAATGCTGGAATTTGAGCAATGGGCGAAACAAAAATAATTAGGTTTTCATGGAAGAGAAGCAATCTCCTGATCCAGATTCTTATACTGCTGTGGCAGCAGAATATGCATGATTCATTATTTTGGAAATACAACTAGAATGGGTGGGTGGGATCTATATTTAATGTATTGAAATCTTTTAAAAATATGTTTTCAATGCTTAAAGATGCAGCAGGACAAATTTCCTCAATGTTTTGTTTTATTATGATTCATAACTGACAAATTTAAGTTTTTCGGGGGGGGGGTTACACAGAGTGGCTTTTTTTACAATGTGGCATTTCATTGGTGGAATATAGGATTTGGGATTAAAACATCTAACAGATTTATTTCAGTATGGTTTTCGGGGTGTTTTTACCTTTCTGCTCAAGATACACTATGAAGGAGATGTTATAGTAGGAAATGCCTCATCAGAGGACACATAATTAGTTGTAGGACAGGGCTAGAGAAAAGAATGTCTCTGGAGGGAAATGTGTGATGGCTTCACAAACCCACAGAGAAAACAAAACAAGACGCCAGAGCTCTCGAAGGCACATTTTGAAGCAGTGCTGTTGAAACTAAACAGGCCCAGATTTGATCAACTACCTGGAAACTCCATGTATGCCGCCTTTGGCTACACAAAGCAAAGATGGAATAAAAAAGTAATAAATATATTTACCATCTCATTAAACATTTAGACGCATTAGGCCATTATTCACTTTACTGAGAGAGCATAACATGATACAACAGCATGCCAGCATAACTACTCCACTGTTAGAATGGGGTGGGGATCCTTTTTCAACTCGAAGTCCGCATTCCCTTCTAGGTAACCTTCTGGGGGCCACATGCAAAAGCTGGCTGGGGCAACTGACCATTCAATGTTGCCTTGTACAGTATGCTTCTTTCTACAAATGCTCACACACATCCCTCTTTATCCTCCAACTGGGCAAGCATTATTAAAGTTCAAGGCAGACAGAGCAAGGTTGTTGAGAGGTGTGGCCTAGGGATAGTCCTGAGGGCCTGACAGAGAGGCCTGGAGGGCTACATTTTGCCCCAAAGTCTAAAATTCCCCCTTTCTGTGTTGATGGCACAACCTTATCCTTGCAACACATCGGGGAAGCCTTTGCATGCTTACGCTTTGTGCAACAGGGACAAACCCCAGCCATCAAGTTACGCAAACCAGAAGCCTTGAAGAAAGAAGACCTACACTACATTAATTTGGAATAAAAAGCAGCGAAGAACTCCAGTAGACCAGAAACAATCCTTCATCCATTAAAAGGGATGTACACCATGTTAACATGAAGCAACCAGTTAAACAACTCAGTTCATGAATCCATCAAAACTTGATTGAAAGGGTGAGGGAAATCCCCATTTGAGCTTCAAACACTCCTTCACAAGCCTTGCAGCGAGGACACCAGTAGCCTTAAAAAGTCACAACTTATGAACATTATGTTCTCCTGAGTATGTACCCATTAACCAGGGCTTTTTTTTTCCAGCCAGAACTCGCTTCTGGCAACACTGCCATTCTAGAGAACAAGGGAGGTGTTCATGGCGAGTTCCAGCACCTTGTTTTCTAGAAAAATAGCACTGCCATTAACCTTTATGTTATTGTGTGTTTTTTTAATAATAATAAAAAACCTTTTGGGGAGGGAAATCAAGTAATAACCTGTGCATTTATCTCCCTCTCTTTTTGGCAAACACCCACATCCTGTAGGCCTGAGAATGCAGGGCATTCCTGCATCAACCTTTCCTGTACGGGGAGAGTCAGTTTCACCCAAAATAACCCTCATGCACGGCCCACAGGGGGGAAGGTCTTTTTTGGGGAGGGGGCCAGCTATTCTTAAGCCTTGTCCACCCCCAATAACAATGAGCATAACCTTCCCACCCTTTTCCTGTTTGAAGGGTAAAACCTGCCCTATTATTCCTCACCAAGGAGGGCCAGGCAGAGAGACCCAACCCACCGTCTCCCCTCACCTTTCTTTTTTGGGGAGGGGGCAAGTGGGCGTGGGTAGGCGCCTCCCCGCTTCCCCCGGTGTTGTGGGGCAGGAGGGCGTCTCCTCCCACCTTGACTTTCCCTATGGGGAGCTTCCCCTTCTTCTTCTTCTTCCCACCCCACCCAGCCCCTACCATTAACTCGGTCCAAACCTGCCTCCAAAAGCAGCCACAGCCAGACGAAATGGGAGAGGAGGGAGGGACGCGCAGGGAAGCAAACAGGCGTCTTCCGTCTGGGAGGCCCAACCGCGCGGGGAAGGGGAGAAAGGTTGCGGCCGGGGAGGGTTGCGCCTTGCCCGGCGTGCCCAGCCACTCGAGGCCCCGGCTCCACGGTTCTGGGCAGGCCGCAACCGGAAAGTAATTCCCACCACCCTCGCCGCCGCCGCTCCCCGCTTGTCTAACACGCGCGCACACCTTTTTTCCTCTCCCAGACTCTCCGCCTCTGCCCCGCGAAGCCCCTTCCCCACCTTACCCGCAGGTACAGCAGATGCAACTTTTAATACCGGCTAGAAAAACCCCATAAAATCGTTAAGACCCCAACAGGGTGTGTTGCGGTGGGGGGTATAGAGAATTGTTATGGATGAAAAAATCAGCGACCAATGCATTCCCGCCCCGTATTCTTGTTTTGCACGACAAAAAACCAACGATTCAGGGAAGAAGACGAAAAATACCAAACCAGTGGGCGCCACCGATTATTATTTTATTTGCAGCCGCGATCTCCACGCACACGCATTTGAGACCTTATATGTGCTGCATGTATCTCATCTGTGCATTGCACGCACATATACATACAGAAAGGGGCATGTTACGCAGGCTCAACCTCCCCCCATTACAAAAAAAATAAAAGCAAAACCCTTTCCTCTTGTGGGCTCCGGTGTGTACATGATTTTGTAGAGGTTTCTTTCTCTCTCGTTCTCTCTCTCTTTTTTTTTTAAGGCGCCATGTTTATAATCCTCCATCATATATTTAAAAAGAAAAAAGAAGACGCCGGAGACGCCGCCTTCCCCTCGCCTCCCTAACCCAGCCACCCACCCTAATCTCTCCCAGAAAGGCGCACATCCTAATCTCTCCCACAGGGCTGTAAATTTCAAAGTCGTGCCTCTCTTTCTCTCTCTCTCCCCCCACAATCGCCCCCCTTTGCTCTCCTCCTCCTCCTCCCCAGACCGAAGAGCGTCTCTCTCACCTTGTGCTCTGGGCTGCTGCTCTTTCTGTGGCTGCGAAAGGCGAGGGAAGGAGAAGAAGAGGAGAAGTTAACCCAGGCGAAACTTTTCAATCCTCTCTCCCCCAAGGCTGCTGCCTCCTTCCTCCTCTCCTCCTCCTCCTACATATTTCTTCCCCCCATCGGAGTTTTATTGTGTCTGAATTTTTCTCTCTCTCTTCTCTCCCTGTCTGTCCACACTTCCAGCTTTCTGGGGGTAAACAGGGTTTAAAAGAACGAAGGCGCGGATCTTTGGGAGAAGGAGAACTCTAGCGGCGTCGGGTGGAGTTGCCGTTGGCTTCTTTTTCTTTCCGCCCCTCGCTTTATTATGCCGGGTTAAAGGGAGAGAGAGCAATTCAAGAGCACTGGTTCTCCCAACTATTGAAAAGAAAAGGAAAAAAAAGCCATGATAACATACATATGTGCTCTCATCTCACAAAATTACAAGGTTGCCACGGCGTGCGTAATTTTTTGCGCATGGTCCACTCTGTTCTTTTTTGGAGTTCTTTGTGCATCATAAATTAAAAGATGTGTTTTTGGGTGGGTGGGAGGGAGAGGAGAAGGGAAAATGAATAAATGCAGCCTTTTCAGAAATATATTTGAGATCAAGGGGTTTCTGCAGGCATCAAATGCCAGTGTGTGTGTTATAAAATATATATATATAACGAACGTGGGTTATTTTATTGGTGGGTTCAGCATGTTTTGATTCCCATCCCTACAAGTGACAGTGACGAAATGCTAAAATAACCATCAGGCATTAGTAGCCTCTTGTCTATGTCTGTAAACTTAATTAACGATGATGATTTAACATTATGTAATTCATCTGATCATGATTATGCTTTAATCAGAATAAGTCCCTTAATAATCCAGTGCATTTTGAGCCACAAACATGGCAGGATAATCCGCAAGGTGCCTGGTTGTAAGGTGGCAAATGTTATCTACCAATCAATTCACTTGAGGATGTTTTCGCACATTAACTAAAAATGAATGCCAAGCCTTTCTTGTGAATGGTGTTAACGAAGGGCTAGTAGTAACTGAAACGTATTATAGCCGGTCTAAAAATCAAATTCTAATTATACGTGTGAGAAATGCAGACAACTATTGCTTTTATGGGCGGAGGTTTTTGTTTTTGTTTGTAACTAAGTTACGTATTTTTGTGTAAACTAAACTGCCCTATGATCCTCAGATGAAGGGCAGTATAGAAATTTAATTAATAATAAGAATTACAAAAACTATAGGAATTGGGTTGCTGTATGTCAGTGGTTCCCAAACATTTTTCTTCATAGACCACCTGAAAAATGCTTAGGGTGTTGACAGAACACTATCCTGCCTGTTCTGGCAATTGTAATTGTAAATTTTTTAATCATATTTTTATTGGTGCATTCATTTCCTTTTATTTATTTCTCATCTATAGTATTTTATTGTACAAATAACTCACAACTTATGCACACTTTTTTAACTTATGCATCCATTCAACTTTACACGCTTGGCAGAAAAGGGGTGAGCATCCTGGGAAAAAAATATTTAAGTTGAGAATCGCCTGTATTACAATTTGGAATCCATAGAATTCAAATGGTTTGGGGGGAAATGAGGAAATTTGTTTATTTACACAATTTATATACATTACTGCTTGGCTGTAATAATCTCTAAGCGGTTTACAAGGATGCAATACAACTCGCCAATTTTTCCTGGACACAGTAAGTACCAATCCACTGTTCATCTTCCCAAGGTGCAAGCTCAGTTTATTGGCCCTCAGCCAATTCACCACAATTCCCAAACAATGATTGACAATTTCCATTTTTTGTTGAAAGTTTTAAGAAAAAAAAGTATTTCTGTATTGAAGCATTTTTTGAACTTGGAGTGTAAAAGTCAAATTGGCACTCCCGACACAATTTATTTTTAAAACGATGCACAGAGAGATTGATTTAATTGTGTTTAATGTCTTTAATTTATAGGTTTAATTTTGCCCATACAGTTCTTAGGAAAGATGTTTGGAGCCGTACTCAGTTCTCGAACATCTTGTAACAATTATTCTCTCAGTGTTACTTATTGCATGTCATATATGAATTTATGTAGTGGTCCTGCATTCCAGAAAATCTGAGGGGAAAATCCCATATACAGCTTCATTGCTAATTCAAAATCAGGATCGGCTCATTAGTGAAAATATTATGTTGTAATAACATATCCACATTTTAAAAATAAATCTCAAGTTTATTGATTCCCAACGTACAAAGGTTTCAAAGTTTAAGATGTTTCTTCCTTTGAGGAAGTTAACATACATGTATGCTTGTAATGTGGGTGGCTGTGTTTAGCATGTGAACCTCCCTTGCTCTCCCTTCCCCTCTCATCTTTCAATGCAGCCGCAGGAAGAGACCAGAATTTTCTTCATGGTGTGTTGTCCATACACTAAACTATGGTTAAATTTAGCTATTGTTAGCAAAAACAAGCTAGCTTCATAAACTGTGCTTTGAAGCTGGCTTGTTTCCACTAAATATATTTAAGATTAACTAAAATTGTCTGGGTTCAATCTTGAAGATGCTTCGGAAGCTTCGATTACAGTACAGTGGTGCCTCGCAAGACGAAATTAATTCGTTCCGCGAGTTTTGTCGTCTTGTGATTTTTTTTGTCTTGCGAAGCATGGTGTCGGGAAGCTTTTGGAAAAGCTTCAAAAATCACCAAAGTCTTTAAAAACCTCAAAAAAGGCTACCACACCGCGTTCTATGAGTTGCTCCTCGAAGTCAAGTCGCAACTGTATTAACAGTGTTAAGAAAAAGGAAACAAACTTGCAAGACGTTTCCGTCTTGCGAAGCAAGCCCATAGGGAAAATCGTCTTGCGAAGCAGCTCAAAAAACAAAAAACCCTTTCGTCTAGCGAGTTTTTTGTCTTGCGAGGCATTCGTCTTGCGAGGTATCACTGTACTTCAAAATACCACAGCCAGGGTATTACCTGGGATGGTGCACGGTTTCCATATCTTGACGGTCTTGGGAAAGCTACACCAGTTATCAATTTGCTTCTGAGTTCAGTTTCAAGGTGCTGCTTTTAAACTATCCTTCCTGGCTTGGGACCTAGGTACCATATGGACAGCCTTCTCCAATACCAATCTTCTCAGGTGTTGAGATCTTCCACAACGCTGCCGTCATTTGCGGTTAAGTGGTTGAAAACTAGGGAGAGGACATTTTCATCCATAAAACCCCAGTTGTCTGGTACCCAGCTTGTAACCATTTAGGTTTCAGGTTAAGATGTTTTTATTCTCACATGCATTTCAGTTAATTGAATGGCCCCAAAATGAGGCAGTGGAAAGGCGTTTGTTCTTTCTTACTCTGCCGCGGGATTATTTTGCCGCTATTGTAATTTTAGCTTAATTTGCGAACCAGTCTGGGATGGATTCTATGAAGAGAAGTACAGTAGTACCTTGGGTTAAGTACTTAATTCGTTCCAGAGGTCCGTTCTTAACCTGAAGCTGTTCTTAACCTGAAGCACCACTTTAGCTAATGGGGCCTCCTGCTGCTGCCGCGCCGCCGGAGCATGATTTCTGTTCTCATCCTGAAGTAAAGTTCTTAAACTGAAGCACTATTTTTGGGTTAGTGGAGTCTGTAACCTGAAGCGTATGTAACCTGAAGCGTATGTAACCCAAGGTACCACTGTACAGAAATTTCCTAAATAAACAAGCAACCCATTTTTCACTTCTTAAAAACAGCGTCCTGCAGAACAAACTGACATAGTGCATCTGGGCAAAATGTCACAGTTCGGACTTTCCGTACTGCAGTGTAAACAAGGCAAGGTGCTATGCGGGGAGGGGCTCTCAAGGAGATGGAAAACCCAGCCTCCAAGGAGCATGCCACAGCTCTCGCTGCCACCACAGCAGTGGCAGTAGTAGCAGATGATGCATTCCTTAGAGGCCAGACCTGCTACCCCTATGGGTCCTGCCCCCTGAGGCAGTTGCCTCACCTTGCCTCACGGATGGGCCAGCCCTGCTGTCTATATTTTATCCATGTGCCTGCCCCTCTCACAAGGCTCCATCCACAGTGCCTCTGTAACAACTTCATGGAAAAGTGGAGATCTGAAAAGCAAGAAACTGAGAGGAAACCAAAACTGACACATTTACCCAGCCCTGCTTGGGATTATCTTCTACAAACTATAACAGCATAAGACTACAGGAAGCACCACATTCCCTCATGTTTCCTTTACCGTACATATTATTTTCCTAAAGTTTTTGCCTTGATTGATATACAGTACACAGTTTCTGTAATGGCCAGACATAAAAGTTCATTTAAACCTCATTCAGCTCACTTTCAAAAAATTGAGCTGTTACTGTTTGCACTATTTCAGCAATTTGCTCAGAGGGTCTCTTCGCTTCCCGTCGGAATAAAAGCACCTCCTTCCGCTGTTATTGTGCTGTTGTTTACAGTTATTATTATAAGGGGAGTCACGCCTGATTCAAACTGTTATTTTCAAATAGGTACCCAGCAGAGAGAAGCTTCGACATCAAATTCCGATTTGTGAGGTTAGCATAAAATCCCGGTTTGGAGCCCTACTCCTTTACTGATTAACCTACTTCATGGCTGACTTCGTTCCACAGGATCACGCTGTGCTCATGAACAGGGTGTGATGTAAACCAGTCAGAAGTTGGTTGACTTGGAGGTATTCCAGACTTTGTACTATTAATCTCTTGAAACTTCAGAGCCTTCAGAGCAAAGCTGAGCACAAATGCAGTAGCACAGTCATTTCTATTAAGACCTCCCATAGTCAAATCTATCCCTTCATGGGATACTAAGTTTCTTGCTATTTTACTACTTTGGACCCTGCCTCAGAAATGTGCAGGGCTGAATCCAGGTGAGGAGCTTGGTTTTATTTCTCTGCTATTTCACAAGCCACTTTTGAAGCCTAGAACGGCTTTGAAGCCAGTTTGCAATAATACATCACAAGGCTTTGAAGCCAGTTTGCAGCACATCACAAGGAACTGCTGCCATTCACAAATATAACAGCAACAGCAGTGTGCCATTTGCAGAGCTCTTCCATCTTTCCTAAAGCATAATAATATATGCTTTGCCAGAGTGGTGTAGTGGTTAGACGAGGACCTGGATTCAAATCCCCACTTGGCCATGAAACCCACTAGGTGACCTTCGGTCAGTCCCTGCCTCTCAGCCTATCCTACCTCACAGGGTTGTTGTGGGGGGTGAAATGACAAGGAGGGAAAGATTTACACCACCTTGCGCTCCTTGTAGAACAAGGTGCATATAA